GTAACTGGTAAGAATCGACTCAACAACTGATCGACTCAACATTTTTTATCACTTCGCCGGCTTGAGGATTACAATAAATGATTTTAATCAATTTTTAAAACATAGTGAAGAAGGTGAATATATATTTTTGGACCAATACATTCCAGTCACATTCCAACGAAAACTTGACCCCAAAAAATACCTCAATTTTTATTTTTAGGGGGACTAATTCTGATATGGAAATCATAGCCGAAACTGCACGCCCCTGCGGTCAGCAATTACCCCCCTTATTTTTTCCAATGGCATGGGCGGTCGAGTGATACATCATTTGAAAGGTCTTTTGTCCCTCTATTACTTCTGTAATTTTTTTCGAAATTGGTTGATTTGTTATTGAGAAATTAAATGTTGGACGTTTTAATAAAAAAAAAAAACAAAAAATTCGCTGTCAATCATTTTATTGAGGAAATCTACTAAAGTAATATCAATGGCAAAACAATCAACAGAGAAAGTGTTCAAAATGACGTCCATCTAGTTCCATACAATAATACAGACTACTTTTGAAAGCGTTCCTTACCTACATTATTGAAGATGTCCGGAGACAGAAATCGGCATTCCCGTCGCAGGTCTTCTAGATTTGTAGAATTTATTTAATTAGTAGTAAATGTTTTGAAATAGACGACACTGTTAGTTTTTGTTGAATCTAGTTGTCGCAGAACAAAAAAGTAGATAGTTGGCCAGTCACTTCTTCACGAATTATTATTCAGTCATCCTTTTCACTGTGTTCCAACATGGTTTATTCTACTGAACAAAGAATAGAAATTGTTGCCACCTATTATCGAAATAATGAATGTGCTAAAGCTGCTGCAAGAAATTATAATACGAAACATCCAGACCACAACATGAGCCATCAATACGTTAAACAGAAGACCTATGACCGATAATTGTTCGGGAATGTCGATTTCTGGCTCCGGACATCTTCAATAATGTAACTAACGCTTTCGAAAGTAGACTGTATTATTGTATGGAAATAGATCTAGATAGAGGTCATTTTGAATACTTCATCCGTTATGTACTTGTGATGCATTGTGTAGTAGTAATGAATATAACTGTATCTTTTTCCCTACACCATACCGTCATTTTAACACCTCGACACGTGTTTTGATCACTAAGTGATCATCTTCAAGAGGAAGATCAAACTTCATCCATTGATTGTGATTACTTTCGTTGATTTCCTCTTAAATAAAACGTTCAACATTTAATTTCTCGATAACAAATGAACCAATTTCGAAAAAAATTATAGAAGTAATAGAGGGACAAAAGACCTTTCAAATGATGTATCACTTGACCCTCTAGGCCATTGAAAAATAATATAGGAGGATAGTTGCTGACCTCAGAGAGGTGAAGTTTTGTGTGTGATTTCCATATCAGAACTAGTCCCCATAAAAATGATAATTGACGTGTTCTTCGAAATTTTCGATTACACGCCCGTTTCCGACTTACAGGGAGGGTCAAGTTTTCGTTGGAACGCCCTATATTGAATCTGAATTCACAATTAATAAATATAAAAGGTTACTAGAGTTACTAGAGTGAAATCAATAAAGGTTGAACAGGGACTTCTGGCGCAGAATAAATTCAAAACAGGCACTGTTTCCAAACATCAGGGCTTGTTTTGGTTTCAAGAAACCCTACTCCTCAAAAAGTGCCTTGTGTGATCCTCTGTTTGAGCCTTTTGCCATGCACCTTAGTACGCCTTTGCGCTATAAAAACATATCCTACTGTGGAAGATCCACAGACACCTCACTAAACTCTTGCTTCTACTTGAACAAAATATATATGAAGAGAAACTTCAACGAGTTAGGTTTTGAAGTTGATTGTTGATAGTGCGTTTTCCAGTTGAGAAAATTGTCTAGAATGATTCCTATGAGACTTACATTTGTTAGTATTTCCCATTCTGTTTTTCCAGTTGTGAAATTTTCGTTTTTCCTTCATTGAATAATTTCTTCTCATTGTTAATTTTCTCATACGATTGTATCTGGTACACATATAACTGCTGAAAAGGCAACTGAATAAACGGTGTAATGATTTTGGATACTATTGGCGCGATAATTTTTATAAGGAATAAGCAGTTGGGTTCCCATTTTTGAACCCTGATGCGGAATCCATAATTGATCTAGAAATCAGGATTAACATTACGGATTACATTCATTCTATTAACTCGTATTTTAAATTGAGTACAACTTCTCTTATAATACACTTTGTTAATTTCCAAATATATTTTATGATTAACACAATCAAAAACTATATTTGAATCACTAAGAATTACGGCGGGGCATTTCCTTCAGTTGCAATATTCTGGAATTTTATTTAGTATTTGTTGATTGTTCGGAACGCAATTCACATTGCATTCGTCCCGTAGATGGCGTCATAGTAAAGGGTGATGTCATCACCTCTATTTTCATAGACAATGACGTCTCGAAACAACGCTGTTTGGTGGAAGCTACAGTGAAAGATAGATGACGAATCTTGTTCGAAGGATTATGTCGAAGCTTTGTTTTTCAATCGACCGCCGCGTCGTTAATTTCTGATATTCATATAATTTCACCGTGGTGTATTTTGAGGACTGTTGGATCCAGAAATGCATGGCGCCCTATGGCGGGTCTAAACAGTGATGTATATTATTCGATAACGATCTCTTATTGTAGTTTCAACTAGTTGCGTTGCAAAGAAAGCTTCAGTCAAATGCAGAGAATATATCTCAATTGGGCGGTTAATGACGGAGCTTAGCTTTGCAACGCCTCGTAGAGTCTTCTGTCGATTGCATAGATTGCATTTTTGGAAAATAAGGTGTCATCGCATTCGCATTTCAAAGGGTTATTTGAAATGAAAGAAAGAAATGAAAAGGAGAAAAAAAGCATATTCGAATACTTTAGCAAGTTAACAGTAGTGAGTGGATAATTTTGTATTATTATTGGTTTCTTGAATATGGAATATGGATATGGCACTCCCAGTTTTCAACTTTTGTGGAAAATATAAAATAAGTAAGAGCGTCTTAGCCGCTATGACAGCAAGATATATGCAATGCAATTTCTATCTCACATTGTGTGAGAACTGAAATGGTAACATAAAATGATCCCAACCAAACATATAATTAATTTCATGTAATTATGTAGAAACTTACTATATAATGTCTGAAGGAACTTTTGTTTATATTCACCACTCCTGTTAATAATCAACCGTTTAACAAAAATCAAAATGAATATGACAAAAAACTGAATTATGCAGTTTATCGTGTGATTTTCACTATAAAGGGTTTTACAAAAACTGCGACACGTGTTTCGCTATACAATAGCTTTCTTATGCATGAGGTTTCGCTATACAATAGCTTCCTTATGCATGAGGAAGTTATTGTGTAGCGAAACACGTGTCGCGGATTTTCACTATAAAGGGTTTTACAAAAACCGCGACACGTGTTTCGCTATACAATAGCTGCCTTATGCATGATTAATACAGTTTATTGTATGATTTTCACTATAAAGGGGTTTTAGAAAAACCGCGACACGTATTTCGTTATACAATAGCTTCCTTATGCATGAGGTTTCGATATACAATAACTTCCTTATGCATGAGGAAGCTATTGTGTAGCGAAACACGTGTCGCGGTTTTTGTAAACCCTTTATAGTGATAATCATACAATAAACTGTATTAATTAGTATTTTAATATGGATTTTCATCAAGTATTGGCCAGTTCTATTCTTTTATTGAATATGACAAGATGACGATGAGTAGGAGTGATATTTTTACAAGGAAAGAATTTTGATTCGACATCAACTTATCGGATGAATTGGAATTTGAAATTCTCAGATTTTATTTATTTATGAATTATATTCATTTCTCCGCAACCGAAATACTGGTAGAATGGAGAATAAAACAGATACTTTGTAAAAATAAGAATTCCTTTACCATTAACAATACTTTTTTCTTTGATATATCGATCTTCTAACTTTCATTTAATCAAAATTAAAATTGGAAAACTCACTTTGTATGCACTACTGGAAAACCCTCTTCTTCTCATATCGGCCACAAAAACTCACAATCACTACGAACAAATTAACAATGCTGACAGTAATGTCAATGCCTCGAGTTAACTAGAATCCTGAATTAGGTAAATAAAACACTGTATTGCTGAGATGCCACAAAATGTTTCTGTAAGTAATCGCCGGACTTCCATTTTCGGAGAGCGATCTTATTGCCTATCAAAAAAAATCTCGATTATACGCCGCTAATAAAAAGAAGTTCAGAGAGTGGCTTTCGTATTCTCGCCATGACTGAAGAGAACTACCAACGAGTATGTTGAATAATAACGTTCTACTTGAGTAATGATGTTTTGAATTCAGGAGAACACGACTACCTTGACTCAAATAATTACATATTATTATATCAAAATGCATCTTCTCTCGGATACAAATTTATGGAAATGCGCCTTCGTATCCAAAATTATGGATCGATACGAAATTAGTACGTACATTTTTCGGAATTTCAAGATGAAATAAAATATAATTGTTGCTGAATTTTTTTTTATATGATCGTAAATTACTATAATGTTCACATATCTTATAATTGGTTTATTATTTCAAGACTTTATAACAAAGTTCATTAATAATGAGTTTGGGCAGGATTTCTTCACAAATGTTTTCAATTACATTATAATTTGCTTCCGAAAAACATACTTAGTGGTTCAATATTATTAGACATCCTACATCAGGAACAGTAATAAATGGATGTTCAAAGCATGAATACAATAAAGGGGATTTACCAAATTAGACACCACAACAACTGGCACTATTGGATAAGAAAATTCATAATACTTTTGCAGACGAGGCTGACATCACGCAAATTAACATTGCTGTGTACAGCTCAATTCAGTCACTTTCCGATTAGAAAGGACGGAATTCCGGCCTTATGGATCATAAGATTGAATGATAGGTATAGCTGAAGTAAACGACATTGTGCATTCTTGAAGTTGTGGGCCCTCTCAAAGGCCAAAAAAAACCAATACATAAAAATAATCCGACTGCCAAGTAGTCCACATGGACCGAGTTTCATGATTGGCTGAAGAGTCGTAAAATTAAATTTGAAGTCATGTTACGGTGACGAATAAAAATCGGAAATGCGGGGATGGTTATCACCTCGTGTTCAGTTCAGGAACTGATCGCGATTTGAGTGTTGGAATTCAATATTGGTGCAGTTATAATTACTTGAAAAAAATTATCTGTACATAATGTGGCGTCTTTGGACAAGTACATTTTTTCCAGTGTAGTGATTCCAATAGCGATGGTAAACAATGCGAAAAAGAGATACCAGTGAATAAGATTCGGATGCATTTGAATATTTAAATACAGAGAGAATGTTTCAATTTATATAAGAATCTACATCTCAAGTTTTGTTTCGAGAGAAACAAACTATTACAAACATCTGATTTGACCAAAATTCAATTCTCAACTGTACGTAAACGCAAGACACGATGTGATACGGAATTACCAAACATTTAGATGTTCATCTAATAAAATCTTTGAAAAAAAACAATATACGACTGTTACAAAAGTAGTGAGATTCCTACAATTGAAATCATAAGGAAGAACTTGAATACTTCCGGTCATCACGTGAGCTGCTGTGACAAAACTTTTCAGAATTGGATGAAGAAACTAGGATTTAGATTTAAAATAATAAACAAACGTCAAGCAGTTATGGAAAGCAGAAGAATAGTGGAATTGCGTATCAAATACTTAGAACAAATAACTAAATATAGACAACAACAATGGCAAATTTTCTATTTGGACAAAACTTGGTATGACACTAACGACACCGTTACGAAAGAGTGGACTGATGGTTCGAGAACGTGTACGCCTAACATGCCTGTAAACAAAATTTGACAAGAAGGTAATAAGGTAATTAAAGGAGTATCTAATATTACCGAAGAAGACTGGCAGAGAAGGATTGAAAAAGTAATTTCAGTTGAAAAAGATGGAGATTGGACACTTCCATATTAATGGTGGAAATGAATTCATTATTGATTTAAATGACGACAGTGATAGTGAAACAGAAGCTTTCGAAGAAAGTTAGTGAAGTGTTTTTGAAGCGATCGATTGTATATACATATATATATATGAGTAAGTAGTTTTCGCGGTCAGTAATTTAATATTCTGTTGTCCGGGTTGAACTGCGTCTGTGATTTTCACGTCTTCCACGCCAGCTATGCGGCCAATATCCATCAAACTACGACCTGCTGATCGCAGGTATGCGGATGAGATATGAATGCCAGTTGCTGAAAAGTCACTACAGAGCTGAGCTAGTGGTTTTGCGGAAAACCATAAATGAGTTCTGTAAAAAATGTTTCCGCTCATTCCGAAAGATTCCGAAAGATTCCGCTGACCACCGATCGGGTAGAATCCTTCTAGGATTCACGTAGGAACATCCCCAGCTACTCAACCTAGATACTCGAATCCTAACCGCTTAAGAGTTAGCTGCTTCAAGAGGAAACGTAGAGTAGAAATTGAAACATGTGTAGTAGATTGGAATTTGATAGAAATGACAAGTGGCAATAGACATCAATGCTTTTTTTTGAAAACATACATGAAGCACATGGCATTCCAACCTGGAATATTTCGGGACAAGAATACATAATGAAAATACTTACATTTTTTTGCTATTGAACTATTATTCAATCGTTCTCGAACATACATAAAATATAATATGCCATGTAGAATATGGGATATTTCAATATGTTCAAATTGAAACGGTTATATTTCTACGGGAGATTAGTTTCTGGAAAAAAAGGTTTCTGGTTGTTTACTCTTTCATCTTATTCGAAAACATCGAAGTTAGTCACTGAGGATGATAGTGCCCCATGTAATTGAAATTTTATATCGCGAGTCTTTCTTACATAACAATGTGTAACGTTCCTATGAATGATATGTGATTCAATTTCATAAAGTTTGGAGTACAAACTGGAAAAAGTGATTTTAGTATAATTCATTGTTCAGTAGGGCAGTTGTTTCGGCAGAAAATTTTCTTCCAGTTTGTATCTGAAAGTAACTTCAATGCATGATCTTTTCTTTGGAAGTTTCTCAGATGTTTTGTATAATGATGGAGAAGAGTAAAAAAGTCAAATTCTTTCTTTCGCGAAAACTGATTTCTTTAGAAATATACCCCTTTCAATTTGAAGTAAATTATTATGCCTGGGATTAAGTCAAATAAGCGAATAAATGTCATTATGTACTGCCATCGTGAAATGAGTAGATTCAACCCATCCGTGACATAAGTATCTCTTTTCGGAACTTCGAAGTTCACCATTGGGGATGATACTGTACCATGTGAGAAATTTTATGTCTCCTATGTCTCGTTGATGTATAGTGTTTCTATAAATGATATCTGATTCGATTCCATAATGAATGTTTCAAGTAAAAACTGAATAGGAAAAAGTTATTTAATATTCATATGGAATTCGTTGTTTCAAAAGTATTTTTTCTTTCGTGACATTCAATTTTCATGTAAAAGTAGTTGTTTCGAAAGGTTTTTGTCCAGTTTATATCTGAAAGTAACTACTATGCATGATTTACACATTTTTGTAGAGTTTATTTTGAACTGGATTGCTTTCTTTCTTTCTTTGGAAGTGTTTTACATTTTTTGTACAAAGATGGAGAAGAAGACAGCCAAAAACTTTTATTTTCGATAATGATATTTTTTCTTGAAATTTTATTTTATATTTTAGAGCACGAATGTTCAATAATGCTACGTCTGAATAGCATTTTGTGGTATTCCAATGGTAACTAAAGATATTTGAAATGGACCAAAGGATACATACATGTGATGTCACTGAAGTTGTACTTAGAAAACGTTCTCAGTAGACGGTAACAATCTACTTGTTTGAATTCAATAATCATAAATAGTTAACTGATAGCAATGAAAACATATTTTCAGTGAAGCCTGATCCCCTGACGGTTACTAATTTTTAATAATGAAATAGTTCGATTTAGAATTTGAGTATGATCAATTACAGGAATGAAGCTACCAACCGGAGTAGAATATCACTATTTGGAGTGACGGAGTAAAAATTGAAAATGAAATCAGATCTACTACTAATGAAGTAGGTGTGGCAACACAAATACCTAAATCTGTTCGAATCTTTCAGTAAAGAACTTTGAGTAGCTCCTTGTGGATTCTAATAACTTCCCTATCTAGACCCAGATACACTGAAGAATTATTGAAGCAAATATTCACTCAAAACATACCCGATATGGACAGGGAATTCAACTTATGAGTGTAGGGACAACATATTCTGGATTGATTTGTTGAGAGTAGGACTGTTCTCATCGTCGTTGATTCAAAATATTTACACAGTAAACAGTAACTTTTTTCAGACAGATGTATTACATAGGAGTCATTGCAACATAAGCGTAATCTCTCTATGGCCTGGATCGACTTCTGTGAAGCATTTGATACAACATTCCATGAACTCTTTTTGTTTTTTTTTTGTCTTACGGTACCCAACACAATAGTAAGATACCTTCAACAACTGTTACCACTTCGGATGACTCGTTCCACCTCAACATCTAATCATGCTGAACAATGCCACTATCACAGATGTGGTCATTGGAACTGTCGGGAAAAAAAAGTTACTGCCACGAATGTGATTACGGATTTTATCTCACTCTACCTCTTTCTGTAGAGTAGTTTAGAGAACTTCACTTGAAATGAAGACCCTGGAAACGATGTACCTCCACAGAGTTTGTATCTCCGTTCCACGATTATACAACGCCAGACAACTGGAAGGCCATAAAGTCATAACGGGGTGAACATGAACATGAGAGAGCATGATTATGTTTGGTTATAACTTTCAGTCAGTTATGATATATCCTATCATCTCATCAGTGAACACATTCAAGTTTGACATATTTATTCATCGCCCTAATAAAGTGATGTCGAATATGCTCAGACCGCTTATGGAAAATAGGACAAACAGTCGAAAGCTGAACACCTAAGATATACAATAAATATTACCAGTGATATCTTTTAGTAAATTTTCAAGATAAATGGCTTCTTCAGCAGCCACATAAATTACTATACATATTGAGCCTAGGTTGATAATGCTTTTCTTATTTCATTTACTACTTTTGCAACAATAGCACCACCAAATGATTTATGTGATGCCCAGTCGGCGTCAACGAAACCTTCTTAGTTGGGATCCGATTTTGTGAATGCAAGATTGTTTTTGCATACCTTTTGAATATTTAAAAATTGTCTTAGCAGAATTCCCGTGAGCTCCCGAATCATATTCATCAT